TGGATTTTATACGAATTTTTAAAACTTAATCGGCGAAAATTGCAAAATTCGAAAAAATTGTCGATCATTTCAAAAATTTATTTCTCAACAACTGAATGTGATTTTTCAAAACAGCTTGTTGCATTAAAAAGAGGATACATTAATTAATAATTGGTGATATTTCCACAAGGATCCTTCAAGAAATTAATTTTATAGCGAATTTTGAAAGTTATCGAAAATTTTATTAAAACTTCAAATATTGTTTTCTCAAAAACTAAAAGTTATATTTCAAAACGGGTTGGTTCATTGGATAGAGGACACTATTGTTAACATTTTGGTAAATTTTCATACTCATAGTCCAAGAAATCGATTTTATACGAATTTTTAAAACTTAATTGGCGAAAATTGCAAAATTCGAAAAAAATTTCGATCATTTCAAAAATTTATTTCTCAAAAACTGGAACCAATTTTTCAAAACGACTTGTTACATTAAAAAAAGATACTTTAATTAATAATTGGCGATATTTCCACAAGTATCCTTCAAAAAATTAATTTTATAGCAAATTTTGAAAGTTATCGATGAAAATTGCAACATCGAAAATTTTATCAAAACTTCAAATATTGTTTTCTCAAAAACTAAAAGTTATTTTTCAAAACGGGTTGGTTCATTGGAAAGAGGACACTTTTATTAACAGTTTCGGAAAATCTCATACTCATATTGCAAGAAATCGATTTTATACGAATTTTAGAAAATAAGCTTTTTAGGTAACACATCACTTTATTAAATAAAATGACATTACCTTGTGCACGAGCTAGAGCAACCCAACTCGACCGGTTGGATAATTATGTATATCTATAAACAAGGGTAAACCGATGAATCTGGAGGTAAGCATCGCTAATAGGTTCCTCATATTCATCGTTTTCTACTGTTAAAGGTTTGTTATTCAAGGTTTTTCCTCGGGTAATCATCGCCAATCTATCGCTAATCTTACGTACCTTTTAATTTTTTTGTAATGCTGATGTGTTCCTATTATAGCGATATTTTTCGATTCTTCTCACCTCATCTATTTCCGACCCTGGTATACGTTGAGTCCTATATTCTGTAGTCATCTGTTTCTTTCCTTTTCTAATTTCAATCACAATCATTCACGAACAATATAAAGATTATTTTAATTCCACAACCGCTCGTACACCATGGCAAGAAAAAATAATTCGACGTGGAAGGAATCCCTGTACATAATATAAGGATTAATAATTACGATCAAAATTAATCAAATACTGTATTGACCTCTGTATTGTATTCTAATACAAAAATAATTCAATATATCATCAAAAAAGGAAAATAGGATAAGTTTAAAGGTTTTCATGAAGAAAAACCACCATTTTAAGTACAAAAAAAAATATATTACAATCGTCAAAAACAAGAATAATCATAATTTTTAATAAAAAACCTTATAAAAACAACCTAAAATTACGAAACCTAACAACAACCCTCGACTTTTCTCACAAATCCCAATATTTTTTTCGCCAATTTGAATTTTTCGCCCGGAAACATCGCTCGAAATTTTTAATTTCTCATCGCAAGTCGTCCCCTGAATCGCTTCCTTCACCGATCCCGTTAAAACCCGGAAATTAACAACATCCGGGTCTAATTTATCGTACAAAAACATCGGTAGTTTATCGGAAAGCGCCCACAAATTCCCGTCAAAATCAACTTTTAAATCATTCGGAAACACCATCGTTACGTTACTCATATATATCCTACCTTGAGATTGCATGGTGTACGATGGATTTGACGTTTTCCAGCAAGCGATTGCGTTCAAATTTAACAAAGTGTAAAATAAAACGCCCGAATTTTTGTCTAAAAATGAAACCCCGCTTTGAGATTTTTTACCCCGACTTCCCAACAGTTTAAATTGGTAATAATTATCGTTTTTCAAAGCGGTTTTATCTCTCAAAAATTTTGTGTTTACCGAAAATTCGTTTGTACTTGTCATCGGGTGGAAATAAAGTGTACTAAAACCGTTTGGATCTCTTTTTGATAGAGCTAACCCAAATATACCATCCGTCCATTCAAAATTAATACCATTTACAGACATCTCACCGGATAACGGATCGATATTAAAATAATTATGAGTTATTTTCCAACTTTCATTATCTTTAAATGAGTAAACTACCAAACACGGCGATGCTAAATCGGCTAAATAAGCGTAGGTGTCGCTGCAATCGTCATCTTCGATTGCTATGTTTGCGAAGAAACTTACGTTTTTCTTAATTTGGTCGGCCGGGATTTCATATCGGCGGAGTAAAACGTCGCTGTGAAGGTCGTAGATGATTAATTGTGGTGGGTTGGTGAGCTGTTCCTTATCGGGTAAAATGTTGGCAATTCCGGTATCGAGTACCCAAAGCCGATCGCATTGATCCGCTCGTATTCGAAATGGTGAGATTATTTCAGGTATTGATGATGTCGAGAAATTGTGGGCTGACCAATTTGGGTATGGGTTTAGTTTTGGTGAATCCATGGGATCTGAAAAGATTAATATTGGAAATTAAATACTATTTCATGTAGTTTCATACAAAAATGTAAGAATTTTTAGTCATCTTTGACGATTCATCAATATAACGTTGTGTAACAAGTCAGAAAAGATTTATACATTCGGGGAAGTACAGAAAAATGTTGGGAGTGGGGACAACGGATGAGGGACTCGCGAAAAGAGCAGAGAAGAGGTTAGAGAGAGGGTCGAGTGTGGTCGGGAGTTAGAGTAGAGACATGGGTAAAGTGTGGGAGTGAAAAGTGGAAAAAGACTAAAAAAAATTAAAAGACAAAAAATAAGAGAAGAAAGCGGAAGAAAAAGGTGTCAATCAACCCAAAAAGACACATTATGTGAGTACTGACATTGCGTCTGATATAACTGCTTGCAATTTTAATGACGGTCTTACAAGCATTATGGAAATAAGCACTGAAATTAACAATTGGAAGATCGTGCTTGTCATGAAACGGATTTAAATCGCATTGCTCGCGCTGAGCGCTCCATGACTGCCGAGGTTAAAGAAGCTCGTAGAAGCCTACTGTCAGACAGAAAAGCTGCAGAAGATGAAAATAAGTTTCAGCAAGGACTTAGACATTAGTGTAGCGTGCTATGGCAGCAGCTCCATTTAAAAACATAAAATGTAATTCATTTGTTATTTTTTTTATATTTGCACACAATTGTTTTTGAAGACAAATATAACAGACGCAAAATAAAAAGTCTGCCAAAAAGTTAATTTTATAATTTTATTATTTTGTTGGCTAATACCTCATAGCCGCAATTAGTATCTAGAAAAAATATACAATTTTTTACATTCGAAAACTTTAAACGCTTTTTTCTGGAAACTACATTTTCCAAATCTGTGCACACGATAATTTCCACATTTTTCAACGGATTGTTAAGATTTTTTTTTTTTCAAAAGTTTGTATTATCTTATTCTAGGTAAGTACGTAGCCGTTTTTCGATATGTCTCAGATTCTCTGTTTTACAACCATTTTTATATATGTTTTTTATCGATAAATACGTCATTTCTTGTAAAATCGTCACCATTTCGTCAAAAATGAATATTTTTTAAAAATCCTACTTAGTTCCCTAGTTTTTGAGATTACTAAAGTAATCATATTCAAGTTTTAATTATTCGACTTACGCGTTAGGAGAAATCCTGCGCACAGTTTGACCCTGCACGATTTGCAAGCCTAACATTACCGACATCTAGCGGGTGTAATTTTAATAACTGTTAATAAATGAAGGGTCCAGGGGAAAAACGTGATAAGTCACAAATGCGTAATATCATAAGAGACCTATTTTAAAGTTACCAGACTTTTTCTAGGCCGATGGGAAGTAATTCTTCGATTTTGCTATGGTAATTAATATTCGAATTTATTTTTTATTGATTCTGTGAACACGATAATTCTTAAATGTTTGCGTTCTACGCGTAAATAAAGTCAGACTTAGGGTAACAAATAGAATTGCAATGCAAGAAAACGGTAAGTCCCACACTTATCATCTTTTTGCTCTTTACCAAAGAAGAGTTACTGGAAAAAAATTTAATATTTGAGGATAGATCAATGCAATAATAAACACAGGTGCTTATAAAACAAAAAAAATATAACTACATTATTTAAAGTATCAAAATCAATTTTATTAACGAAATCTGTAACAAATAAATGTTCTTATTTATGTGGTGAAGAATAAAAATATTCGGCAGCTTTATCGCCACAAAACCTTTTGAGGAACTGTAAATTTTGATATTTTTCGGCCGAGATTGGAAGGAGACCTGAGAAACAATAATATTTTTTAATAATATAGAATAGAAATTTCTAAGTTATAGTTAATTTAAACATACGATCGTATACATGCTGTGGTAATGAGAATTCGTTTGGACGTAATTGTTGAGATGGTTTAGAACGTTTCCTTTTAGAAGTTTTCAGTGATTCACTGAACCAAGGACCATTATAGGCAGTTTTGTACCGTATAACATCAGAATCTTCCTGTTTAATATCTATAATTCTGACGGGTCTTGATTTAAACGGTAATTTTTTTTTATAAAGAGTGTCCAAGTAAACGGTCCAGCTTCGAAAGAAATTTTGCTGAACTGGAATTACATGAAAGGGAAATTGGCTTCCTCCGTGCATTTTTAAATACTTCCAGCCATTCATCGGGATGTTCCACCCTAATCTTTTGATTCACAAGAGCCATGTTCTTATCACACTCTAGGTATGAGTGTCCCCTTATGGGAAATGTCATTTTCAATGATGTCAATTTGCGTTCTTCGTGTACTACGTGATGTAAAAAACGATACTAGAGCTTTGTTCGTTGGGACTGCACTACTTGCACTCACTTGCACTATACAGTTTAGTGCAGATGTTGTGTGTTCGTTGGGGATAGTGCAGTTGCACTCATACTGTTCGTTGGGCCAGGTGCAGTGCAATTTAGTGCAGCCGGTGCAAGTTAGTGCAGATTTTGTTGCACCTGCTTTCGATTAAGTTCAATAAGTGCAGTGTAACTAAAATGGCGGAATATTTGAAAGCGCGTTTTGTAATAATTAATCTTAATATAAATATTAAGAAATAAAACCTTATATATAATAATTAATATTTGTTGTATTAGAGAACACAGTACATTCAATACCAGTAGAGGCAGTAGAAAATGGACAAGATAGTAGATAGATAAATAGACAAGATAGATTAAAGACGAAGGCAGCTATCGAAATGTGAAAAATGTAAACTGATATTCATTTTTAAAGAGCTTTTCATTGATATATCACACATATCTGAAGGCTTCAGGGGGTAAACTACCCCTACATTTTTCGAATAATTTAAAAACTACCCTGTCGATTTTGGCAGCATTAAATACACTTATAGTACATTTAAAAATATTATGTTTTTTCTCATTTAGGGGTGGCTGGAGTTAACTACCCTCACCACTCCAAATTTTTTTTTTGCAAGTACTGCTTATCGATTTTGGTGCAATTTAGCATGTGATTTCTTTATACATTAAGTAGTACTTTTGAAAGAACTTATAAGGGTTAGTAGTTTGGTGTAGAAAATATATTTCGCTAATAATTGAAAAAATAATAATAATATAATAATAATTGATGAATCGCTACTAAAAAAACATTCTGCAATGATTTCATTTTCCACGAGTATTTCGCTGACAATCTCCTGTTCAAATATTATACACTTTTTTTATAAAAATCTGTTCGTTGTGACCACGGTTTCTACACTTTTCTGACCTGCACTAAGTTGACATGGCATTGCACTGACTTACACTTCTTGCACTATGACGTCATACGAGTGCCATATCGTGCAGAGTAGTGCAGTCCCAAAGAACAAAGCTATTGCCACATTTTTGTTTTGGCCACCACAAGAGTCACAAAATATCTCAAGCTCTTTCACTTTAGTGTCTAAAATGTTATATATAAAGTGGTGAAGTAAGGAGCAAACATCATCGCTACCTTTTCTACCAACCGTTTCTGGGTAGACGTAAAACACGCTTTCACCAGTTGACAATATATGGATATTGAAAGCAAATACAGAAAGTTGGGGACTGGCAAATTTTTACCAAAATCTAAGCAGATTGCTTCTCTAGTTTCAGATTTCTTACACGACTTCCTAGAATTTCGCTTTTTTCTATAAAAGGTATCTGCGTTTAAAAGATGAAGTTTATTTTCTATTGCTATGCGATCGACTTCAGTTTTAAGTGTTAAATGTTTTTCCCTATCCGTTTCATTGCTTATTTGTGATAGTAAACTCTTCTTTCTTGCTGCAAACTCATCACAGTTGCTACACGTATCGGTACGTGGGTAACCAAACGCTATGTTGAAGTCATTATTGAAGATTGTTCTATATGTTTCATAAGAAATCTTCAGTTCGCCATGAATTTCTTTAAACATCAAAAACAACTTTTTGATGTTTAATTCTTCAGGCAGATATGTCTTAGTGGAATCGTGCAAACTGTAGTGACTAGATCTTCCTTTCAGAGATTTAATATGAGCATGAACAGCACTCTTCACCTCTTCAGAAATTTTGTTGGGGCGATTTTTGTGTTTGCCTCTCTTATCCTTTGGTGCTGTTCCGTAATTTTTTAACGATGCTAGTATATAATCGACTTTTGATCTCCCTATACCATGCAGAGCCATAAATGCTACCTTACAGACAACTTTTTCTTCCACATTTTCATCCATGACTACGCGGACTTTATAACAGTAACTAGCTTCCCGAAATAACACTTCTGCTTCCGGTTTTCTGTTCCTTCTTCGCCGAATTGGCAATATAGATATTAATCCTGCCAAATGCAAATTTTGTTCGTCATTTGACTTTAATTTATTGAAATGATTAATAATTTTTTCTTTACTTTTTTTAGATAATAGTTGTTCAAAACATTTTTTCTTGCATGTGCAGGCTCTTCCTGTTTCATGGGTTTGTAACCGCAATTTCTTACCGACCTCAGTAATTCTTCCAAATATTTTTCTTTTCTTTGTCTTCAACTCTTTGCACTTTCAGACATTTTGAGATATTATACAACACAAAAACCACAGAACTACTATATTGTTACTAACAATGTGTTGATTACGTCGTCAAGGCGAAAAAGAACACGTTTTGTTGCAACAATAATAGTTATTTAGGGCTTAATGCCGCGATACATTAAAGTATTTAAACCGTTTTAAAAATTTAATAAATGACAAGTAATACCAACCTAAATATTGTTGTCATTGTATATTTTTAATTCGTTTAAATGGACTAAAAAAAGTCTGCTAACATATCTTGGGATACTATTAACCACAAAGAATTATGTTTTTTTTGGACTTAACGGTTTTTTATACTGTTTTAGATGGACTTACCATGTTTTTCCCCTGTACATCTAAACTTATTTTGTGAATATCTCAAGACTAAACATGTTTTCATCTAAAACTCATTGATTATCTTGTAGGTCGTAATTTTTACTACAAGATTCAATCATTTAGATCAATTAATGAAATATTGGACTTATCACGTTTTTCCCCTGAACCCTTCAAATAAAATGTGTATTTAAAACTAGAAAAGTGGCTTATTCACACCCTGCAACCCGTTTTTAGAAAACTTCTTTCGTCTGATTGCAAAAAATTTTTAAAAATACCTATTATTTTCGGGTCTTCAAGGTGACACCCCCTTAATGCCATTTATGTAACGGGTGTTTTTTTAAGCCCGATAGAACCTTAAATTGAAAAAAGTAACACAAAAAATTAAATTTTAAACCAAAAAATTTTTTAAAGATCAATTCAATGGCATTTAACATTTAAAAATTATTTTGGGCATATGGGCACCGCGGCTGTTCTTGACGAAGCGCATTCGGGAAGTCCAATTTTGGGCCACTTTTCACGAATAACACGAACTATGTTGGCCTCCAAGGTGTCAATTGTTGCTGGTTTATCAGCATAAACCAAGGTTGAACCTGAAAAAGTTGAACCTCGAAAAAAGTAACATCTGACATAATAAGTTTAATGTCATACACGTGTCATACAACGATTCTTTTCGTTCGTATTATTATCTCAAAGTTGGTTAAATAACTCGAATAATTATTTCAACCTTTTGCATAAGCGTCCGTTAGATATAATTTTTTTATTTGAAAGTATAAATATTTAAACTAAAATTAGAACTAAAACTAGAACTAACACTAGAAACTTTCGGGTTTTGCCGTGCGTCTTTTAATAAAAGGTTTGACGTTTCGGATGCCATGTTGCAATCTTCTTCAGAAACTGGTTCGAAGTCGACTTCGAACCAGTTCACACCGGCCGTGAAAGCCTTCGTACTTATATAAATATTTAACTGAATATCACGGATTGTGATAAACTAGATAAGCTTCTTTCCTTTCTACGGTATTTTGTTGCGATAACCCTTGTATTTACTAAAATATAGTGTTGTGAGGAAGAGTCTTTTCTTGTAATTTTTCTTTTTTAATGTTTAAATTCATTCAATTATTTCTGTCTGTGAAATATTGCGATTTTTCAAATGATCAAGTCTTAACTGTTAACATATACTTAGTACATACAGCCGATCTAAATATTTTATTGTAATTTTATTTGTACAATGGATTTTTTAAAGTACTGAGTGGTGAGAAAGATTGGGATTCCAGACAGTAATAGATTAGAAGAAGAGAACATGTGTTTATTTCTTGAAAAACGCGCTATTACTTCGAAAACAACTTGTGTTTGACGCCTATCTAATTCAAACACGAATTATGGAATATTAATGTAGTTTCGTTTGTGACAAAGGTTTTATAGTTTTCTATGTAACCTTTTAACGATTTAAAGTTTTTATTTTGAATTTTTGAGAGTAATATTTCAATTCTGAAATATTATTAATTATAATTATTAATAATTTTTTTCCTACACACTGCAACACCATTATTAGTCTATCAGTGTTATGTATACAGGGTGATTCATAAGTAATGGGCCAAATTGTAAATGTACGTTCAGGAGGCCAAAATAATAATATTTTCATTAACAATAATGGGTCTTAGTCTGCTCCTTACTGAGATACAGGATGTTAAAGCGAAAAAAATAAAATAGATTTTTGTTAATAGATCAGCTACTTTTCTACATAATGACTCATAGTTGACTTATAGTTTTTGTAAGGGTAAACAATAATGTGTGAGAGGATTTGAGTTAACTCGTAGATGTCGCCACATGCGCCATATGAATTA